GTAAAACATTTATGAGTGTTTACTTATTTTAAAATTACAGACTTGTACTATTGGCTAATATATTGTGTACATCATAAAAGTAGAAGAATGAGATACAGATTGAATAAACAAAATTTTAAATAGCTGGCTAGCCTCTGAAGGTACTGTGTTTACAGCCTGGCAAGGTTCATTGTTAACAGTAGTGGTTGTAGATCATTTTTCAAATAGTCTTTTTGTTCATTGCTAGTGTTTTGTCTCAACTCTTGTCCAGTCTGATTAAATCATAACTCTTTCTACCTCATGATGTGGTTTGACAAGGGCTAGTACCAGAAGAACAAGCTGTGTCAGCTCTGTCCTTCCCTCTTGTTCACCTGCGCCTGCATCGCTGGTCCTGCTTCACTTCCAGGGTTTCTATAGGAATCATTTGAAGCTGCTTTCTATTTTGTGATCGTTAGTTTGGTTGAAACTAGATAATATAATCAGGAAATCTATTCAATGACCCATAATTAAACTGAAATTCTTCTCAAGACACTGAAAAGAAGCAAGTCAGTCAATGCCTCCCCACTTGCATGGCCAAAAGTATCTAACACTCAACGTGTCTAAACAAAACATTTTATTCTCCCTCCCTCCAAAATAAAACCTGCTTCTGCCTCATCTGCATGACTGGCATCCCTGTTTGCCCAGTTGCTCACGTTGAAAACCTCAGTCTTCTTGTTCTGTCATGCTCCTTATGGGATCCATTAGCAAATCCTGTGGGATCTGTCCTCAGAGTCTATCCCAAGTCTAACTGGCTTTCCCTCCCTCCGTTAGTAACTCTCTGTTCCACACCACTGCCATCTCCCGCCCGGTCTACTGCGATAGGCTCTGAATTGTTCCCCTCAGGCTGGCCTGCCTTCCGTCTCTTCTCCACACACACATAAGTCAGATCATATCACCGCCCCATGCAAGACCTCCAGCACGCTTCAAGTATGGTCTCATTTTCTTACCATGACCTTCGAGAACCTCGGTAGTCTGGCCCTTGCTTGCTTTTAGAGTTTGTCTCTTATCACCCAGCCCCTTTCACTGTGTTCCTGCTACACTGGCTTTTTGGTATTAGGCAAAACCGTCACGAGGCTGTGGCCCTCATTTCACACTGATCTCTGCTCAGAGAGGCCATTTCCTGGCTGCTCTTCTAAAATAGCATTCATGCAAGCTCCACCCCCATCACTCTCTTCCTTCCCCTCCTCCCCTGTTTTACTTTTCTCCGTTGCACTTACCTCTAGTTAGCATTCTACTGTATATTTATTTGTTTGCTCATTTATTGGCCATATTCTCCACTAGAATAAGAGCCCCTTTAGGGCAGGGCCGTGTCTGTCTTCTTCTCTACTGTATCTCTAGCTCCTAGAACAGACTCAGCACATAGTCAGGGCTAAGTATTGTTGGGGGGGGGATTAGGTTTTAAAAATTTTAATTAATTAATTAATTTTCAATTTTTTTAAAATGGAGGAACCCAGGACCTCGCATGTGCTAAGCATTCTCTACCACTGAGCTGTATCCTCCCCGCAGGGCTAAGTATTTACGTAAGTGAGTAGATAAGTCTTCCCAGGGACAGCAGATGAAATCCCAAGGATAGTTGCTCATATTAAGAGAAAAGAGAGCAAAGGGCAAATCTTTGGGGGAGATACTTAAATTGAGGGCAAAAGAGGTACTCTACAGGGAGTGAAATCTCAGCCCCACTCACTAGGCATGAAGAAAATGTGGCAGGCCCTGGGGAATGCAGCAGGGAAGGCGCCAAGTGGGGCTCAGCTCGCTGCCCCAACTGTAAGAATGTTCTGAGCACGCACCAAAACCCTGGACAGAGCGACAAGTCCGCCTCTTAGCACGAGGGGGTGCTATCTCCTGTTATCCTGAAACATGTGAAAGGGGTTCAGCCCAGGATCCTGAAGCCACACCTCTGCCTCGAGCACCACGTCTCTGAGCTGTGGCAACGCGTGGGCTCCAGGAGACCCTGGGAATTCGAGTGGGCTGCCCGGGGCTCTCAGAAGTCAGGGTGTGATTCTTAAGAAAACAGATGCTGGAGGGTGACCTCTTTTATTGGGTTCACCATCTGAGCTGTAGAGAGACCATGTGTTTGTCCATAGCCTGAAATGCTCAAAGGCCGTGGTGTTGAAAAGAAGGCCAGCCTTAGGTCTCTTCGTCACCATTAATCCTGGTCCCCACTGGTCTCTCCCTTTTGCATCAGAAAAGCTTTCTTGTTTTTTTTTTTTGAAGAGGGGAGAAAACAGCTGTGCTGGATTTGAGAATCGGATTTTAATGGTCACTGAAGACACACAAAAGCTTTGCTGTGATCGTGAAGTGTTCTGGGGTCGACTGACTCCTTTGTCTGGGGCAGCAAACAAGCCGGCTGCTCAAGGAGAGAGAAGCCACTGGGACTGGGATCCAGGTCTCTGTAGGCCAGATCTGCAGCACTTTTGCAAAGAGCTGTTTTCAGACATTTCTTTATGGCATTTCAGGATCGCTTTTTCGTATTTAGCTCATTTTTACCTTGTGAAAGAAACAAGTGAATGTGGAAGGGGCTTGGCATGGATTCTTTCTCTGGAAGGGAAATGGAAACTGTGAGTGACAAGCTGAGTGTGTTTCCGTGGAGCAGGTCTTTTACTGTGAGAACAAAGAACCCGGCAGCCCAAAGGGCATTTCTCAGTCCTCTGCTCACTTGAGAAATTGCAACAGATATGGGAGATTATGAGGCTTCACAAAATGTAACTTTTCAAAGGTGTGTGGGGTGGGGGTTCAGTAGTTCTAAGGAGGCGTGGACACCCAGAGCAGCGAGAGGCCATCCAGTTCCTCTTTGCAGTGAGAATGATTCTCGTCCACCCGTGGAGGGGATTGTTTTCTGCCAGAGGAACTGGGATGGAACAGACTGAGCTGATCTGAGTCTGAGTTATGACTCATGAGGCCACTGGAATCCTTGCCATCGCATGGGCACTGTCCCTTTAGGTGAGTGAGTGTTGTGGTAACAGCTGTCCCCAAAATGGAAATAGCTTGGGCTAGAGGGGCTTGGTTTTATTTACTTTCTGCTAGTCTTCATGACAGTTGGGTTGTTACAGCCGTGCAGGGGTTATGCTCTCGTGCACTGGCCTGCTGTAGGCCCTGGGATAGTCAGGTGAGATACAGGATAAAAAGCCACAAATTCCTAGCACATAATTCGGCGCAGCTTTTCATGGGAGATGAGCTGAAACCAGAGTAATTATGGAAACCATTATCTAGTAGGGCTGCATTTAGAGACTCAGTCTGGAATTATTGGCTCTGTCTGCCACAGTTCTCTGCACTATCCTCATGATAATGTTGTTTGCCAAGAAAGCAAGAGTTTGATTCACTTTTAATTTAAAAAAAAAACATAAACTTAAGTTAAAATGATATATGAATATTATAAAAGAAAATCCAAGCAATATAAAAAAATATCAAGTATTACTTTAGAGCAGACTTTATTGATTGCATTTAATTGGAGAAGTAATATTTGAAATGTGGCGTATTTTGGCTTACTATGATTTTTTAAGAAGCCTGATTTTTGCTTTCTTTAGATTATGGAGTAAATAATGAGAAGACATTTTTATTACTGGTAATAGAGAACTTTGCCATGTTTAACGCTAAAACTACATATGCAAATTACATTTGTAGGCTAGAATGAAAACCAGTATTCCCCCTTACACACATTCAAGAGCTATAATAGCTACTTTTATCAAGTGATATTTTGTTTTCTATTTCTTGCTTAGGTATAAAAGAGTATGTGTTTATTCCAGTCAAACTCCCCTGATACCCCATAGAGAATTCTTGGCAAAGTCTGTAATTGAGATTCAGTCTACATTTTTGTTCAATGACCTTGTTCCTCTTTAAACTCAAAGCTCTTGATCTCACTTTAGGTGGATTTCACAGATTAGCTGTGGGATCTTGGCAGAATTATTTGACATCCCTAAGTTTCTGTTTCTGTGCACTGGTGCTAATCATAGGTTGTTCCTTCAGGCTGTTTCCAGGGCTTAAGAGAGAGAACACGTGTCAAGCTTGTGGCATGGTGTCTAATAGCTCGCTGAGTACTGAACGTCAGTCATCAGAAAGGCTGTTATGATGGTTATGATGATGTTTAAATATTACACCAGGGAACCCAAAATTCAGTATATTTACTTTCGGTTCCTATCCTAAAATAAGATATAAGCCCATGTTTAGCTGATAACACCAAATATAATCAGAAGCACAGTTTATTCATTTCCTTGTAGTTGACTCTTTCAGGAGACGTTTACCAGGGTTTACTCTCTGTAATGGATTAATTTTATTACAAATATGAAGCATGCTATTTTGCAGAGCTTATCTGAAGACCCTTGAGATCACCCTCCCCACAACCGACAGAGAGTTATCTTTTCAAAACACAGCTTCTGGTGGTATTCCTCACCTTTTGATGGCTTCTTCACCTGCAGGATAAAATCCAAATGCCTGGCATTCAAGGACTTTTTCAGTCTATCCTTTCTTCCCTTTCCTCCCACATGTTAGGCATGAATCTTCACCTGCCCCCTTTTTTATCTGGGGAGCTCCTACTCATCCTTCAAGGCCTGACACAAACGTGGCTTCTTCTAGGAAGCCTTCCGAGATGCCACCAGCCAGAATTAACAGCACCCCCTCTATTCTTCCAGCACCAGCCCTATATTTAATGAATTATTTTCACCTTTTTACTCCTTCTGACAGCCTTGTTAAGTAGGGAATGTCATTAAGTGCTTGTGCTCAAAAATAATTAGGGCCACTGTGATCCTGGTTCCCAAGAAGCTCATGGTCTAGGGAGAGAGGACCTGTAAATGCCTTTTACAGTGAATGACAAGGATCTTGGCAGAGGGGTGTGCTCAGGGAACCCAGAGGTGGCACACATTCTGTATTCAGAGGGGTTGATTGGGGAGGTGTTGGGTCAAAGCCATCTGTTTACCTTCATCTCTGGCACTCACATTATCCTTCCTTGGCCTCTGTCCCTCACTGACCAGATCATTTCCCCCTTTGGCTAGTCAGTTGCAGGGCTGGGACATATTATGATGGAGCACAAGAACGCTGCATTTTATGTCCAAACGGAACCTACCAAACTGAGGAGGGACAAGTCACATGTGAACCATGCCCAAGACCAGAAAATCCTGGGGCCCTAAAGACCCTGGAAGCTTGGAATGTGTCTGAATGTGGAGGTAAGAATTCTGTCTGCCCCTTCTTCCTCCTGCAGTCTCTGGTATCATTGTGTAGATGGAAGGCATAAGTAGCATTTCAGTGCAGATGATGCACTCTGCACCATGGAATTCCTACGAGCAGGGACTGTACTGGGCTCATTCTTGGCTCTCAGAGCCTAGTTCTGTGCCTGACACATGCTGCACTGATGCTCACTTGAACAAATAAATGATCTTATAGAATACCTTGGCAGAAAAAAATGTGTAAATGTTGCAACTGCATATTGAATCACTGTATATAGATATCACCTGAGTGATCCCCCAGTGTGTAGGGGCTGCCTGAAAGTGTCAAAAAATGGAGAAAGTAGCCCTGATTATTCTTCCAGCTTTAGTCTCAAAGTCAGAGCTTATTGATTTTTTTAAAATATGTTCATCTGGTTATTTTGTTAAAACTCAGTTTTAAGAGTTTTTATTTGTCTCTAATAAAATTTTAACTCTGGAACCACTCGTACTTAGGTTCTGCGGACTTATTTATTTTATTGGTAACTGTCTTTATTAAACAGAAGGGACAGCTGTACTGACACTCTGTGGACTCAAATGAAAGGTGTGATTTGATGTGGCGATTTGTAGGGGATGTCCACGGCAGAGTGCACCGGAGCCCTGCCTCCCCTTCCAGTGAATCCCAGCTTTAGTTCCCACCTTCATGACTCCAAAATCAACTACAGGACCTTTTCTGGTTTAAAAATCAGATCCTCAGATTGACCGTGTGACTCCTACCATATCTTTGACCTGTTATCCTTGGCTTCCACCTTTGCACTGTGCTGTGTAGCCCTGCATGTCAGCTTCAGGCACTCTTGTGTGACCTAGACAGGGTCAGCAGCAGGGCAGGACAGGCTCTCCTCACTGAGGTGGGAGCTGAGGTCAGCACAGGGTGACAGGCCTGAGCCCATCTCTCTGATCTCAACTTCCCTGGAGGCCTTGCTCACCTAGGGTCATTCATCCCCCCAGGTCTGTGCCAACCTGGTGAATATTCCGCGGATGGCTTTGCACCCTGCCAGCTGTGTGCCTTGGGCACATTCCAGCCTGAAGCCGGCCGTACTTCCTGCTTTCCCTGTGGAGGAGGCCTCCCCACCAAACACCTGGGAGCCACTTCCTTCCAGGACTGTGAAACCAGAGGTGAGGACTTAGCAGCTTGCCTTTTCCTGAAACTGAATTCCCCTTTGGAGAACCGTGGGGGTCTGGTAGAGATCTGATCAAGCCCAGCCCCGAGATGCCCCGTGTGGTGCCCCAGTGACAGGGAGGCCAGGTCTCCAGGGCCATTTGCCCCTGCAGGATGTGCAAGGGGCACGAGAACTCCTAGACACTGTCCCCCACTGCCCACCTCCAGCCACCTTGGCTCCTTCAGACGGGGCTGACTGCAGGGACCACCGACCAGGGAGGATGGGCAGGTTTAGTCCACAGCTCCCTCTATGTCCACACCCTTACCTGGAGCGCGCCCCTGCAGACAGGCCCTACCCCTTCTCCAGGGCCCCACTCCACTGTCCCTGCAGGAGCCTGGTGTCAGATCTACACCCTGCACGCTCACAAGCACCCTGTGCATGAAGACTCTAGCTGTGAGCATTGCATGGACCGTAAACTCAGAAGATACACCCGTACCTTTTTCCCTTTGTGTTTTTCTCAGTGTCATGAGTCACAAGTCCCACCCAAGCTGGCTATTTAGGGAATTAAGTGTGGATCAGCCCCAGATTAGTAGGAAAGCAGTACTTCATTTGAGCATGAACATTTCTTTCACGAACTGTGAAACCTTTTGTGTTGCATTTGATAAAAACATGGTCTCTTTCTCCCTTCTCCACCCTCCCCCACCCCCACAGTTCAATGTTCACCTGGACATTTCTACAACACCACCACCCACCGATGTATTCGGTGCCCAGCAGGAACATACCAGCCTGAATTTGGAAAAAATAATTGTGTTTCCTGCCCAGGAAATACCACAACTGACTTTGATGGCTCCACAAACATAATCCACTGTAAAAGTAGGTCCCTTTTCACAGTTCTGATTAAGACGGTATGTTCCTGGGTGGGGGTGGGATGGGGGCTGGAACCAGGTAGGTTCAGGACCACAGAGATGTTGTTAGCTCAGCTCATGGCTCTGCAGATGGGCGCTGAGGAGAGCAGGGCTTGGTCTGCAGGTGCTCACCGGTGTTCATCCAGACTCCTTCTCCAGGCACATGCACACACTGCACTTGCTGTAATTTCCTCCCAAGAGCAAAACTTCAGTTCAGCTGAGTTCAGCAAGCATTGCTTGAGGACCTGTTATGTGCCAGGCACTCCAAGCAGAATAAGTCCCTGGCCCTGCAGACAGCACGGGTGGTGGGATTGCAGAGAGAGCCCCTGCCTTGACAAGGAGCTTTCTGCTACTCGGAATATCCTCGTCTGTTGGTAGGTTAGATTTGGGAAGTTTACAGTGTGACAAGATTCTTCCCCCCACCAAGACGGAATCTGTTTCCTTGTCTTCCCACCCCTGGTCCTTGGTTGGCTCTTCGGAGCCACAGGTCGCCCTTCGGGCTGGGATGCAGTTTTCTTGACTCCATGACTCTCCCCTCCTGCTTTTTGATCCAGGAACAAAAGTCTCTTTATTTTATTTTTTTCTACTGAGAAGAATAAATCCCAGTTACAATCAGAGAAGAAAGGTTATCCCTTCAACCTCTTCTTCTGCCCAGGTTCACCTGACAGTTTTAAACAATAAGCTCCTTGAAGACAAGAATATTTGTTGGATGAGTGGAGGTTCAATGAATGAAGATATGGCTGAGGTGGTGTGTGTGTGTGTGTGTGTACCCACAAGTGTGTGTGCTCCTTGCCTTTGGTGCTAGAGGTGAGTATCCAGCATGCCCCATACTGACTGAGAGCTAAATGGAATTCTCTTCTTCACTTAAAAATAAAGCATGGCCTTGACCAGAGAGAAACATAAAAGAATATGGCTGTCACGTCCTCGTCAAAGATCACTAGGAAAGGGTCGGATTTCCTCTGCTGAGCAGTAGCTCTATTCTCCTTATTTTGAAAGACCTACGAGTCTTATGCCATGGGTTCTCCTGGCACTTGGACTGTGTAAACAAAATCGGAAAACTAAAGTTACCCTTTGGTTTCATAAACACCTGTCTCTGACCTTGAATGCCTTCAAGTTAATGAGAAAATGTACCCTGGGAACTCGGAGGGGTGGGCTCTGTGTGGGCTCCCAGGGGGTCCTGGGCACTATGGGGTAGACACATCTCCAGGCTCTGTTCCTTGAGGGCCATAGGGACGCAGTGACTCTCCTCAGCTGAGCTGGCTCTGGTCAGGACAGAATGACGGCTGTGTCGTGCCTTCATAACTCAGGGCATTTCCTCTTCCAGACAGAAGATGTGGAGGGGAGCTGGGAGATTTCACCGGATACATTGAGTCCCCAAACTACCCAGGCAATTACCCAGCCAACACCGAGTGTACCTGGACCATCAACCCACCACCTAAGCGCCGCATCTTGATCGTGGTCCCTGAGATCTTCCTGCCCATAGAGGACGACTGTGGAGACTACCTGGTGATGCGGAAAACTGGTGCGTCTCACCTGTCTGCTGCCCTCCCCTTCTGAGGTCAGCTGGGAAGCCTGGTGGCATGCTGCCTGGCTTAAATGGGAGAAGCAGTTCTGGAATGTCACCTCTGTATTCAAACAGAGATGGGATGTGAGTTTATAGAGTTTGCCAAGAAACAAAATTTAGACCAAAAACACACGTTGAGGCCTCTTGCTGAACCCTAGAGGCAGTGATCCCGCAAGTCAGTTTTCCCCTTGGTGCTCATTGGGGACCCTCGTCCACAAGGACATGGAGTGTCAGTGAAGCTCACGCAGAGCTGATCCCAGACACTTGCCTCACCCTGGGAAGTAGCTTGTGGCTTGGGAACTGACCAAGGCCAAGGGCATGGTCCAGCCTGATTCATGACCATGTGCCCAGAAAGGGATGCTGCTTAGAGGCAGTGTAGTGAGGGGGCTCTGTAGCCAGGCTGTCTGGATCTGAATCCCAGCCCCACCTCTTATTAGTTCTGTGATCTTGGGAATACATTCTGGAACTTTCTGTGCCTCAGATTGCTCATTGTTAAAGTGAGGACAATAAGAGCTGCTACCTCATAGGGTTATCATGAGGAAGAAATGAGTTTGTAGTTGTAAAGCACTTGGAATAATAATGACACAGGGAGCCACTAGTTGTTTGCTATGTCTTATTAGTGGTTACAATGTCTGAAGTCAGGTGTGGGTTTGAATCCTGATTTTTTTCCACATACTGGCTGTGTGACCCTGGGCAAGTATTGAATCCCTCTGTAAGTGAGAACTTCCTATGTTTTTCAGGGGTTTGAGCGAGATAAAGTGCTAGCACGCTGCCTGGTCTCAGGAAGCGTGCAGCGAGTGGTGGTGATTACCACCAGGTTACAGCAGGTTGGCTCTGGAACATGAGGGCTGTGTCCTCAGCTCCTTCAGTGGCTGCTGCAGCCTGGGCTGCTGCTGTTTGCCAGCCGTGGGCCTGCCAGTGAGCCTTCCCTGGGGCCAACAATCACCAGCTACATCTACACGATTTCCGGGACTGTGGCCCTTTCAATGGCTCAGCTGGTCCTGAAGAGCCCTTCAGCATAACTTGATTTGCGATGTGAGTGGTGTGCTGTGAGTGAAAGATGAGTGTTCACTGTCTGCAGGCTCAGTGATGAGTCTCGAACCCTGTCCCCCCCCCCAATTTCCCTTGGCAGCTTCGTCCAATTCTGTGACAACGTATGAAACCTGCCAGACCTACGAACGCCCCATCGCCTTCACCTCCAGATCCAAGAGGCTGTGGATTCAATTTAAGTCCAATGAAGGGAATAGCGCCAGAGGGTTCCAGGTCCCGTATGTGACGTATGATGGTAAGCGCTGTGAAACTCAGTCTGCCACGTGTGTGAGAAGCTTCTCTGCTTTGAACACAGCCAACTTCTGGGCTAGCTGGTGAACTGCTGACAGGCACACATGCTCAGAAAGGGGGCAGGATAAGGAGAAAGGACACTGCTGACTCACAGGTGCCAAATTTTCAACAGGCATTCGGGCACACTGACTGCAGGGATAGAAAGATGTTTTAGAAAGTAAATAAAAGTGAGCATAGTTGGGTGGGTAAGAACATAGGCGTTGGAGTCAGCCAGGCTGGGTATGATCTCTTCTGTGATTTTGTGTTATGCTACTTACATCTCTAAGCTTCATTTTCTTAATATGTAAATGAGGATAGTCACTAGACTTAATGTAAGAGTTCTGTGGGATAATCCACAGAGGACTTGGTGTGGTGCCTGGCACATGGTAGATGCTCAATAAATAATAACTTATTACAATTGTGGCTTTTGCTATACGGAATCCTAAGGAGGGGGAAAAGACCTGAGTTCTGGTCCACTCTCTGCCACTAATTTGCTGTGTGATTTGGGGCAAGTTAGATGACTTCTCTGGTTTTATTTTCTTCTTGTTAAATGAAGGGGTGGCCCATGTGAGCCCTGGGGCCCTACTTAGCACTGAGCCTTGGGTAACAAACATTTACTAGGAATACAAAATGAATTGGACCTTGTCCTGGGGGACCTCCTGATCTACTGGGGGAAGAATCATCTGTTCATCATGAATGTACTCATTCATCCATGCAACAAATATTTTTTTCATGCAACAAATATTTAATGAGCATCTACTATGCCAGATATTGGGTGAGGTGCTGGAGACAACATGGTTAGTGACACAGACACAAAAAAGCATATAGTGTCATAGATGCTATAATGGGCATGGACAAAGCTCTGTGTGAGGAGAGGAAGGGGCAGCAGTTAATTTTGCATGGGTTTTTGGAAAGGGTAGAGCAAATCCTCAAGAGATTTGGGTCTTGAAAGAATATATAAATTTTCATATAAATAGGAGGAAGAACATTCAAAGAAAGGGAGTGACATAGGCCAAAGGATGGAGTATTCAGCATGTTGGGGGCTGATGAAAAGCCTGATTTGGCTAGTTGGTAAGGTGCATAGGGCTTAGCAGGAGAATGAGATTAGAATAGGGTGGGGTTAGGCTGTGAAGAGCCTTGAGTGCCAAGCTCAGGAGGGTAGACCTAATCTTTTAGGGGGCCATTGAAGGTTTTTAGGCAGGCAAGTGCCAAAAGTAGGTGTTTTGGAAAGACAGTATTCTATGGATTTCCTTAAAACACCTCACAGAGTTTATTTACATGTGACAAAAGCTAGAATCATCATCCCTGTGCCTGAAACCATGTCAGACACCGAGACAAGGGCTCTTGGTATCAGACTCCTAGGTGGAGACACGTGGCTCCCATGTGCTTTGCTGAGACACAGAGAACCTTATCTCCCTGATGGCAGCCAGCTGACAGCCTCCCTTTCTGGAATCAGGAAGGAACCAAAAAGCCACGGAGACTCCAGAGTAAATGTCACCAAAACTCATACACTTTTGTCCAGGTGTTTTCAACTCTGTGTCGCATGAAAATGTCTTGATTTTTTTTTAATTCAAATAAAGAGTTGTAGCTCGAACCAGAGGATGCTACACATAACCCTGGTTAGGCCCATGAGAGTGTGCCTGGCACACGTCACAGCAGAAAAAAGTTGAAAACGGCTTCTTTGGGGGGAAGGAAAGGGGAGGGTATTGCTCAGTTGTAGTGTGCTTAGCATGCATAAGGTCCTGGGTTCAATCCCCAGTACCTCCACTAAATCAAGCAAACAAACAAAAAAACCTAATCCCCTCTCCCAAACAAAACAAAAAAACAAGAAAGTAAAAATAAATAAATTGAAAATTAAAAAGCAACAACTGCTGCTTTGGCCATGCAGAGGCCTTTTCGGGTCCTCGCTCAGAGCCTATTTAATTTTTAACTTCAACATCTAATTCAGACAAGTTTGATATGTGGTTTCAAGCCCAGAAGAATAGAAATCACATTGAGAAGGGGCAGCTGAGGCTGCCACAGGCTAGCCCACTGGCCGGGAGAGCAGGGAGCGCGGTAGCCTCGCTGACCTGTGCTGAGCTTATGAGGCCCAGGCACGTCCTGAGTGCCCTCGACACCGCACATTCCTCGCAGCTGCCCATGCGGTAGACACGACCCTTTCCTGATTGTACACAGGAGGCCACTCTGGCTTAGAGATTTAAGTAACTGGCTCAAGATTACAGCAGGACAAAGTTGCAGGGGACTTTGGGACTCCAGTTCTTATCTACAACACTTGAGTGCTTTTCTCATGATGGTTGGAGCAAGTGAGGAGACACAGTAGTTCTTAAAAGCAGAGGGAATCTTAAAAGATGGCAGTCTGGAAGCATTTGGCGTAGTGGCAAAGAGCTCTCCAGCACAGCAGCGGGCATGGTGCTGTGAACTCCCTAATGGTGAACTCCCAACATCAGAGGGAGCTACGGATTTGAGGTGGAGACTGCAGCAGAGGAATTCAAGATTAAAGAAAACGTGCCCTTACTCATATGTGACATATTTTATGTTCACTAAAATAAAAGGATCAGAAGAGACCACATGAATAGGGTACCAGAGATATTGTACATGCGTGAAATTAGTGATTGTATTATCCTATGAATTTCCATCTACCCTTCCTTGACTAGGAGAAACATTTTCAAGAACTCCTCCCACACAGTTCCAATGATGTTCTTATGATTTGTTTGGTTTTGTTGCACATGATATACATACAAAGAGGCATTATTTTCTGCCTGGCATTTGAAAAATATTGTGTTTTGTATATGCTTGATTTGAATTATGATTGTAAGAAACAGGCTAAACCTTGAAATGCTACTGATAACATCAAGGAATATGTGGACCAAGAGTTGACCTTTGGGACATAGCAACATGGAGATCACTGGTGAACCCAACAAGAGTTTTGCAGGAATGGTGGGGACCAGGGTTGGTGGGACTGGGTTTGAGAGAGAAAAGAAAAGAATTAGAGACAGTGAGTGTTGACACTTCTTTCAAGGAGTTTTGCTACAAAGGGGAACAGAGACGTGGATGGAAGCTGGAGGTAGAAGTAAGGTCAAGAGAGGGTCTTTTTTTTTTTTAACCATCTTTATTGTGGTATGATTCCTGTACAGTAAACTACACGTATTTCAGATGTACAATTTGATGAATTTTGGTAACAGTATACACCTATGAAACCATCACACAATCAAGATGGCTAACATTTCCATCATTCAGAGAGGGTCTTTTTAATTGGAGACATAACAGCATGTTTGCATGCTGATGGGAAAGATGCAGAGAGAGAACATGTTCATTGTAGGAAAGGAAGGACAGTGGGACAGGGACAGTGCGCTTGATCTGGTGAGAGAAGATAGAGGGTAAGCAAAATGGAGGGATGGGCCTTGGCTGCACAGAGGGCTCGTCTGAGGGAAGAAGGAACAGGAAAGGTGGGTGCAGATGCCAGTGGGTGAGTGGAGGTGGTGGGGTTGTGGAAGTTCTCTCCTATTGCCTTCTTAGTACCAGAGGGGTCATTGTTCTCATGGCAGCTACAGAGGAGGCATTTCTCAGAACCTTATTTTAAAATGAAAGAAAGAGTGAGCTGACAAATAACTAAGCCATACAAATGCAAAATATGTCCTTTATGCAAACAGAGGACTACCAGGAACTCATTGAAGACATAGTTCGAGATGGCAGGCTCTACGCATCTGAGAACCATCAGGAAATACTTAAGGTGAGTATGTGCCTAAAATGGGCACAGTAGTCACCCAAAGGGCTCTCCAAGCACCACTGAGGAAGGATTTCCCGCTGCACCATATTGCTACCTTTCAGACAGTAAGCCTGCTCTGGGCTGAGGTCAGTTTTGTATCTTACCAGATTTTTTTTTTTAAGTTCTAGTGGCAGTTTTTAGTGTTGTCAAGTAAAGTTGTATGTTTTTCATTTAGAAATATGTGGAGGAGCAGTGGGAAACTTGTTTATCATAAATCCAAGCCAGTGGCAAATAGTGTTTTCATGTTCATTCTCCAAATAGTTGAAGATTCTTGGCTTCTTGTTCATCCTTCAAGGCTGAAGTTCACCAAATTTTAGATACTTATAAGTATAAATAAACAGTTGCCACACCACAAACCCTATAAATATTCCCCAAATTCCAAAGTTGTCATCTGGTTTAGAAAAAAAATTTTTTATGTATCAAATTTTCTTTTATACAAGTAATATGTGCTTTTTGTAGATAATTAGGAAAAATAAAAATTGTAAAAAGATTAAAATCAGAGGCTGGGGATGGGTATAGCTCAATGGTAGAGCGCATGCTTAGCATGCATGAGGTCCTGGGTTCAGTCCCCAGTACCTCCATTAAATAATCAAACAAACTTAATTACCCTCCCTCCCAAAAAAAATTTTCAAAAAAAAAAATCAGAGAAACAATTTTCACAAAGTGTTTTTCAGCTAATCAACCTATTGCCTAACCGTGAGATGTTATACTTCAATGTTGTAATGTTTAAATATTTTGGCCCAGTAACAAAAATTCTGTTCTTTTTAGGATAAGAAACTGATCAAGGCTCTGTTTGATGTCCTGGCCCACCCCCAGAACTATTTCAAGTACACAGCCCAGGAGTCCCGAGAAATGTTTCCAAGATCCTTCATCCGATTGCTACGTTCCAAAGTGTCCAGGTTTTTGAGGCCTTACAAATGAGTCTGCCCACGTGCCACTCGGCACAATGTTCGGCCCATGGGCTGGTGGGACACAGCCATCTGTTTCTGCAGCCAGCAGAGTCGGATAATGCTGCCTCTAGTAGCAGTGACTGGTTAGAGTTCAATTTTTATAGATAATACAGATATTTTGGTAAATGGAACTTGGTTTTTCTTTCCCAGCGTTGTGGATGTGGACTGAGAACGGCATTGAGTCTTACCCCTTCTGACTGCTGTGGGCAGATGTCTTGGATTCATCAAGTGCTGGCTGAGTGGGACTTCAGTCAGCGCAGGTGAGACTCACTTGTCCTTCTTGGTCCTCACTCCTCTTCCTGGAAGGGAGGCCCCAGAAGGGCTGCCTTGTCCGAAACGTCACCTTCTTCCAGCAGAGCCCTCTGTCAGGGAGCCCTCTGCAGTCAGATGCAGGCTCTGACCAGGCAGAGCAGGACAAGGGGAGGGAGAGCTATCCAGGTACCATCCACCTGCCCGAGACCTGGGAGGACTTGGTTTCTGCACAGCCTTCTCCAGGCTGTGTGACCTAAGTTTGATCCCAGCAGCTTGAGTTCTAAGCAGAGATCACTAAAAAAGACTTAAAGCAGAAAGAATTTGAAATCAGAAGATAGAAACTAAGCACTTCCACAGACATCCTCATGTAGACCTATTGATGGCCTTCCTTGTTCCAGTTTCCACCTCGTAGCAAGTGCACAGAGCTAGTCTTACACCCCCAGCTGTGCTTTCAGACACAACCTGGGCACCCCAGTAGGGCCTGGAGAGTTCAGATTGGATGTGATCTCCTTGATAGATGAGAATCATCTGTCATCATGAAAAGGAGACTTCACAAACCCTCAGTCCGTACCGCCAAGGGTCCTTTCTCACCATGGGCTTCCCCCTCCAGGGTGTCCCAGGTCCAGGTGGGACATGGGGCAGACCCGCTTCTCACGTTTGCCTTCCTTCCCCATCTCCAAGGTCAGAGACCGACCCGGCTCTGAAGGCACAAGCGCCACTGTTCAGGGTGGTCTCTCTCCCTGAGTGCTCACACCACTGCCAGAAGCAGCTACACAAATCCTGGCCTCTAAGTACCGCAGAACCCTCTCACTTTCAGGCAGCCCCATGGGCCCTCACAATCCTTTTCTCCCATAGGAACTTGATTTTTCAATATTATTGAATTTTTAAAAATTGAAATCCACAGGTGAATAAAAAAGTGAATAAAAAAGAACCCTATCAAACAAGCTGCCATTTCCCTAATGATTAGGCTGACCACACACAACCATAGTGTTTAATTTCAATAACAAACTAACTCTGTACACCATCAATTCCCTATGCCAAAGTACAAAAATAGGTTAACAAATATTTTTAAAGAAAACAAAGACTATCTCATTTATTGTTGAACTCACTTTTCACCTCAGTGGTTTTTTTTATAACCTATCTAATCAAATTTTTCTTCTTTATTTGGATGGTCCTAAACACCCATCTCAAGTTTTCCTTCAAAAATTTGAACGTCTTTATTTTAAAAAATAATCATTAATACAAGTACTTGGAATTTGTCATGCCAGAACTTGAACTACATTTCTGAGTCTGACCATAAGAGGAAAATTCAAATGTAATATAACATGAGTTAATGACCTGACTGATGTGGAAGTGAGGTGAGCAGAATTGCACCATCCTGTCCAAGCATGTTAGTAACTTTGTGTTTAAGACTGTCTGATTCTGTATCGCTGATTTCAGGAGAAGGCTAAGGCTGGCAGTACACTGGGGGTTGGAAGGAGGCTGCCTAAACCTGGTCTCTGTGAAGCATCCCTCAGGAGCCAGCCCATGCACGAGCCACTGAGGCCCTCCTGAATCTTCCTCTCTGTACCCATCAACCACTCTAAGAGGCTCTGTGGTCCTGTTGGAAGACTGGCTAGCAGGGGCTACTGTTGCTCCCTGCTAAAGCCTTATACATAATTATCCAACATCTGCTCTTTGCCAGGCACTATCCTAGGCCCTAGGGACACGCTGTGACAAGACAGACAAGGTCTTGTTATTTTAGAGCTTACATTTTAGAGGGAGGAGACAGACAATGAACATATCAACATGAAAAGTATCAGCTAGTAGTAAGTTAAGCTGAAAATTAAGTAAGCTGAAAATTCAGTAAGCTGAAAATTAAAATAGGTTAATGTAACAGACAACTGCATGGCTGCGTTAGGTTTGGGAATTGTGGAGGTCTCCCTGGGGAAATGATATTTCAACTGAAAAATAAATGGCAAGAAGAAACTAGCCTTGGGAAAATCAGGAGGAGGGACATTCCAGATCAAGGAAAGCCAAGTGCAAATGCTATCAGGCAAGAACAAGCATGTGTGTAGGTCACAGCCTAGTGCGAAGGCAAGTGGTACAAGATGAGGCCAGGAAACTGGACAGGGGCCAGAGCACATTGGGTTTTGGAATCCAGAATGGGGGCCTTGGGTTTAATTCTAAATATGTTGTGAAACTTTTGGAGGGGTTTAAACAGAAAAGTGGGATGATCTGATTTATGTTTTTAAAAGGTAGCTCTGAGTACTACATGAGAATAGATTTTAGAAAGTAGGCATTGGAGGCAGAGAGCAGTTAACAAACCAAGCAGCCATCCAGTGGGAGCTGAGGTTGTCTGGGCTGAGGTGCTAGTAGTGGAGAGGAGAGAATAGGAGGATTCTGGACTGTTTGGGGAGAGAGTCAGCAGAACTTGCTGCTGCCTAGATGGAAGAGGAAGGAAAAGACAGCAACTAAAGATGACCTCTAGTTGCCTGAGCAACTGGGAGATGGAGGATACTGCAGGGGGAGCAGGTTTGGGACATGCGACAATTTTAAAACTCATCTACAAATTCTTTGATGTTCCTCCCATGGAAACTTGGGGGTCTTTTACCCTTCCTAAATCTGGGATCTGTGACTGCTTAACCAATACACATAGCAGAAGTAACATTTGGGCCCAGGACTTCAGACACTGGCAATTTCCACTTCCTCTTCTTGGGAAACTCACTGGGACCTCAGTCACCATGCCTTGAGGAAGCCATAGCAGCTTGTGGAGAGGCCATGTGAACAGTTGAACCAAGGCCCCGCCAGCTCACAGCCCAGCTGACTCCCAGGTGACAGCAAAACTTGCCAGCTGAGTGAATGGGCTAACTTAGGTATGGATTCTCCAGCTGATGCTTCACCGAGCAGTCCTTGTTGATCCAAACCAAAATGACAGACTTCTGAGCAAAATCAATGATTGTTGTTGTTCTAAGTCACTAGGTTTTGAGTCACTTGGTTATTTCTTATGCACTAATAAGACATTGGAAAAGAAGAGAAGATCAAGAGTTCAGTTTTGGCCATTCTAAGTAGGAGATGACTATTAGATACCCAGATAATGAGTTCAAATAGGCAACAGATCCCAGGAGAGCTCAGGGCTGGAATATGAATTCTAATGTCACAGAATGAAGAATGAGATGGGTTGAGATCACCCGGGAAAAGTATGTAGGTAAAAGAAGACCAGGGAACTCTGAATTCTGGGGTCCCTGTGTGGCCACAGGGACAGAACTTCCAGGAGCTGCTGATTAAGTAAACAGGAAGAGGTCCGAGCTGAGCTTTGCATGCCCTCCACGAATGCGAGTTCCCGTGGGAGAACTCTGGGTGGGAGCGGAGCCTGCACACGGCCTGCCCTCCAGCTGTGCATATTGTTCTGGAGCCATTTACTGAAGTGCTGCTTTTATGGATTTAGCCACGTTTCCCCTGAGTTTCCAATGCTAATAAAAGAGTGCTTGCCTTTTCGCACAAACAGCTGATTATCTTCACTTTGGAAAATTGCTTCCTCTGAATCATTCTCTGAGCTGTTAAGTGTGTCGTCTGTAGGCACTGACTGGATTTAGGTTTGCAGGTGATTTTATAATTGTCATGTGGAAACTTGGGAAAGGCAGCGACTGCGCCACACAAAGCAAGGACTTGAGAACCTTTGCAGGAAGATGTAACAGGGCTGCTGACTGCGGCTGACCGCTGCAGCCGGTGGGCCTGGGTGCTGGGAAACCCAGGGCGCCCACACCAGGCCTAGCCTCCATCTCCTCCTCCGCTCAGACTAGATACCTCTGACTGGGGCTGTCAGTATCTCTGCTTCCTTTCACACAGCAGGATGGGGCCTGGGAGCCTTACCCACGTCTACATCACTCTTAGCCAGTGTTTAGGAGGCACGTGGATTAGGTAAGGCTGGAGTAAAGCGGCTCCTCACCAAGTCGCGGGAGCCCCGTTACCCATGACCTTCTTGCCAGGTAAGCCAACAGCTGCCTCTGAATCCAGATCCTGTGAATGGCCAGTAGGGCTCATCCATCCACAGGAAATTAGAAGCCTTGATGAGGCTTCCTCTCTGTAACATCTGCTCCAGGGGCTTGTGCACCCAGCTCAGGGGTGTCCTGAATATTTGTGGTACTCTGCTTCCCTCTCCCTTCAGGCAGTCCTGATCAGCCTGCAGGAGACCAACCTCAGGGGCCTAATGGCCCCGCAAGGCTGCTCCTGTGACTGACAGTCACAAAGACATAACCACTCAGCAGGGATCACTTTCCAGAGAGGACACTAGGATCAAAATAGATTTAGAAGGTGAAACCATTCTAATTCACAGGCAGGTTGCTGTCGCTGAATAAAAGAAATACAAATTAAACCCACCTATCGTGAACAATGATCATAACTCAACATTGCTTGGTTTTCAGAGTATCTCATTAGGGGAATGTGACTACAGGCCTTAGTGACTAATAATTCTTTGTTACATGTTTTCTCATTCATTCATTATATAACATGTTTGCTGAGGGCTTACAAAGTGCTTGGTATTGAGGAATTGGTGATACTGTAATGGGCAAAATGCTCACATGGAGTTTAGATTCTGGTGGGGGGAGACAGAAAATAAATAAACATAGAGTGTAAAGTCAAGGGTGATAACTGTTATAAATAAAATAGAAAAGGGTAAAAGGGTAGAGAATGAGGAGGTGGTGGGAAGAAGCTGGTACTTTAGATGGGGTGAGCACATCGCGGGAGCCATGAATCCAGGCCCCTCCCAGGGCACTGGCTCAGAAACCAAGCCTGGCAGGTCCTCTACGCCTCACCTCCACCCCCACACCCCCAAAAGAACTTGGCCTCTCATCTCAGGCCAGTTGTGAACGAGCCGTTTTGCAATTCCTAGGACAGGCGCCACCTAGTAGTTGTAAATGGAAAACACCTTGTTTCAGTCATCCCACTGCCGTTGGAGCTTAAATGCTCATAATTCAAGACAAAATGTTACTGATGGGATGCTGGGAGCTAGGGCTGTGGTTTGACAACTGAGGTCGTGTTGTTTCATACAGCTCTCAAGAATGTATCTTTTTAGATTTTTTCCTTCCCTCTGCCTGGCCTAATGCCTAATGACCAGGTGAGAAGTCATTGGTCATCAGGTCCTTTCAAACTATCCGCAATGCTCTGAATCATGTCTATGTCCAAACACACACACATACACACACACACACTCACACACACTCCCCACACATTCATTCATTCATCGTTCTGGTCTCGTCACCATGCTAGGCTGGATGCATATTGCTGAGATAAGAGGAATAAATATTTGAAAGAATGGGGAGGAACAATCACTCCCAAACTGTAATCTCATGTAATTTTTACCACACAAAGTTCCAAGATCTACCTCACCCCACTGACTTGACTGTCCTCTGATCCTGTATACTATCCTAGGACTGAAGGATAATTTTGGAATTTTCTGTCTTTCTCCTGTGTAGTGCAGAAAGCAAATAGAAACCTACCTCATATCTGAGTTCTGGTGCTGGCTTTGCCTTATTATACACACTTTGTGGTTGGAAAAAAAATTAATAGTTGCTGAGCAAGAAATGGAACCAATGACCCCGGGAGGACAGACCCAGCAATGTGTGACTGACATGGTCATGGCCAGCAGAAGAGCGTGGCAGTGAAGAGTGTGAGCTTGGGGTGGACCCTGGCCAGGTCTGCTGGGCTCAGTCCTCTGCAGTCTTGTGTGTAACTCACTGTGCGTGACCACAAACTGGTTGTCATTACATGGTGCCCATGTAGCTGCAGTATATGATGCCTGTTCATTGTATAAAACTGTGGACAAGACAGCAAGATACTAATGACGGGCAAAGCAAGAATATATGCCCAGAACCCCAAAGTTAGGTCCAGGTGGCTTGGCTTGAGAAAGGCAGATTTTAGCAGCCACATCGGGCATGAAAGCTGAAGTTTTGAATGATGTGGGTACAACTATAAGAGGCTTGGTGAACCCTCTCACTCAGGGCTTCCAACAAGGAACAGAGGGGACTCAAGCAGCATGACTTACCCAATATTCCCTCTCTCAGGACTCCTAATGTACTTTTCTGAGAATGTATTCTCTCTGTTTCCCTTAGTGAAAGATTTCTCTAAAGTTTATGTTTCATAATGCTTATTTTCTCCAAGACTCCCATTATATCCTCTGCAGTACCTGGATTTGTATCCCAGCACTGCCACTTAATGGCTGTGACCTTGCACAAGTTACTTAACCTCTCTGTGCCTCAGTTTCCTCATATGGTAAATAAAGATACAGTACTTTCTAGATAGGGTTATTGTGAGAATTAAAGGAGTCCACACCTGGAAAACTCTTTGAAAACTGACTGGAATGTAGTATGGGCTCAATAAATGTTAACTATCATCATTATCATTATTATCTTTCTTTCATTATTTGAGACAAGAGAAGTTAAATCCAAGATACATTATTAAAATGGGTTCACACTCTGCTAGCTTCTCCCATTTCACTGAAACAGAAAGTGGGATATGTTCTAGGAACAGAAGAGTTAGAGCTTGAAGTAGAAATGAAAGGCCACGATGCCTAACATGGGTTCTCTCATAAGATTTTCTGAGAACCCCTGTCCTCTCGAGCTGGGAAGCAGAAATGTGCTCTTCCAATCTCCTAAGATTCTCAGATCAGAAATAGCACCCATACACAGAGACCTGTCAATCCTTCATCTTTCCTTATTTCCAGGCCTCAGCCTCCGACGTGTGAGGATGGCACTACATCTCCTTGCTGAGCTCAGAATCACACATTCTCCAGAACTGCTCATCTCAGCTTGATGTTTCCAGCATGATGAAGTCCACCCTCTGACTCCAGGGAGGTAGTGTCCAGGGCTGTAGGCAAATAAGGCCAGTGAAGACACTCACTTTTGCAGAGTGTGAAATTGGGTTCCCAAAGTGAGTAATTTGCATGAGCTCTTGTGGTCAGTGGGACAGTCCGTGATGAGACATGAAGACACAGACCTGGCCGAGGTGAGTCTGACCATCATGCAGCATGTGCCTCAGAGAGCACAGAACTCAAAATAATCACAATGACTTATCTCCCCAGGCAGGGCAGAGCTGGGTTAAAATAGGTCAGAGCGAATTCTGTGTGTGTGTGTGTGTGTGTGTGTGTGTGTGTGTGTGTGTGTGTGTGTGTGTGTGTGTGTGTGTGTGTGTGTGTCTCTGTGTGTGGTATGCAAGTGTCTGTACGCCTGATCACCTACACATTCCATAGGGCCCTTGGCCTCTCTGCTGCCAATGCCCCCAGGCCCAGGGCTTGCCCAGTGAGGGCCACTGACCCGTCACTGTCCCACCCAAGCAGCATACTTAGTTACTTTAAGGGGAAGGCGGTGGAGGCCCCCGTGCTCCTGAGGTAGACAGAGGTAACCAGTGTGCGCTGAGTTGAGGCCTTCTCACCTCCAGCTGGGTGTGACAGAAAGAGATATGAAGCCGACCCACCACGCTGAGACTGGGCTGCATTCTGAGAAGCTTGCTGTCTCCCAAGATGTATTTCCAGATGAAAGAGATCTTGCCTGGCCTCTGGAGGGCCGCTCTTTCTCCGGGTTCTCTACCTTTGTTGTACAGAGGAAGGAAAGAAGACTAGGACTCATATTTCTTGAGGGTTCACTTTGTGCCAGGCCCTGTGCTTTACATATTACCTTATTTAAACCACACAGAGCCCCGCCAGATGGATGATAAACTGAGCTCAGAGAGCTGTGGTAACTTGGCCAAGGTCCCACAGCAAGCAAGGGGCAGAGCAGGGGTTCAAAGCCAAGCCTCTTTCTACCAAGTGCTCTTGCTTGAGATACTGAGATTTCCCCCACATCTTTCTCTCCTCTTTTGCTGTCTGATTTGAGGTCACAGCCTGTCCTCATCTCAGGAAATGAAACAAAATCACTGCTGACAGGAATGGATCCAAAAGACCCAGCCAACTTTGGAAAACACCAGCGGGGCTGCCGCCAGCCTCGTTTTATGAGGCTATGGTGAAGGAAGAAGACAGAAATAACTCTTGTCTTTGCAATAACCTGCCAAAGTAGACACAGTCTTCAGGGCTGAGTGCCAACCTGTGGGCACCGTGTAGCCAGAAATCCTGGCATACATATAACACCTGCAGTGGACAGCTGTTTGAAGAATCTTTCTGCCAGAAGGATTAAGGGTGGTGGGGAGGGCACCAGAGGAGGAAGGGGACTCGGCATCTACAAGGATAGGGGTGGTGAGTGAAGGAGATCAGGGCACTGGCCATTACTTCCAGGGTGTGCCCAAGAGAAAAATCAGAGCAAAATATGCATGGGTGGGAAGGGAAGGGGGATAAAAATTCCTTGGTTGTCCTCCCTTTCTCCTCTGCTCTTCTCATCCACTTTTCTGGCTTCACATCCCAGCCTTCATCCCGTAGACCATTCTCAAAGATCTCCCTGTTACCTGAAGACCCAAAGGAGAGTTTCTAGGCGAACAGATTATAAGCCTAGACCCTCTGACAGCCATCAGACTAGAGCCTGCTACAGTGGCATCAACTCAGAGCTGAGACACAGTGATAATGTAGTTTGAGCCCCTGGATCCAGCCACAAAAGAAACCCCTGTACTTTTAAAAGTTAAGGGGACCAAAAACGTTTTCTTTTTTTTAAAAAAATTGAAGTATAGCTGATTTACAATATTGTGTTAGTTTCAGGAACAAAAAGTTTTCATTTTAGCTTAAGAAATTTTCAGCTGGGTTCCCTGTCACTTATAATAAGAACAACATGATAAAATCCTAACTGAAACAGCATCAACTTGTCTAGTATAATTTTCAAAGACAGATCATCTATAACAGCCAAGACAGGATGTAAAGCACTTTAGAACAGAGCCACCTGACATGGTAAATTCAGAATCCAGAGGCACCAGGAAGAGGAAAAGAGGGGGCCAGCTCTTGCCCCAGGAGGCTTTGGTTCCAGGGAAAGATGCTCATGTGTGGAGTTCTGTAGGGAGGCTTGGAGAAAGCATGGGGCAGGCCCCATTCTGAGGCTCGGCACCCATAGGTTTTCCTGAGACTGTTCCAGGTAATGATGGTAGCTACCTTCTGCTGAGCCCTTTCTATGTGCCACAATGTGCTATGTGTATTATTATTTCATTTAATCCTTGAAGCAGCCTGAGCGGTAGATATAATACTAGCATCATTTTCTAGATGAGCTGAAACTAGAGTGATGAAGTAACTTACTTGTCACATAGCTAGTAAGGAGCAGAGCAGGGATTCATACCTAACATATTTGACTCCAAAACCTGTGCTTTTAACACCTGTACTATACTTCTTCAAAGATAGGTGAATGGGGCAGGAGAGGTTGGCTATGTGGAGAATTAATAATTATCTTTTCTTTTGGTACAGCCTTCCAGAGTTTACAAAGCCCAATTTCATCTGCAGTCTCACTACGTCCATTTTACAGATGTGGAAACTGAGGCTTAGAGGTAGGAAGTGATTTGCTCAGTCATTTGGGCAAACTGGATAAACTACCCAGAGCTCTGTGGTCTGCAGAAACTCATAGAGTGTGTGCAGGGGGTGGGGTTGGCCTCACCATATTGACACAGGCTTAAAAGCAGTGAAGGGATCAGTCTGGCTGAGGAAGATCTCTGAGAGATGAGGGAACCAATCCATGTTGTGGCCACAGATTCAACTGCAGAACACAAATCCCACTATAATAAAGAGCTCTGCATTCACAAAAAGATTCCCAGCTCCAGCCAAGGCCCCATTTATTTTTCAGTAACACTTGATATGGACAAATTCCAGGTCAGCCAGAGACATTTAACTTCTGGTGTTCTGAGTGGGGGTGGGGGAATCTAGCTATGAAAGGAGCCCCTTTCTTCTGTCCGGCCATCCTCAGTAAAAAGGCTGCCTGAGGATGGGGAGTCCGAATCTGCCTGCTTGGCTTCCTCTTAGGGGGAAAGTAGCTGTCCTGGCCATAGCCCCAGGGGCCCTCACTGTTGGACCTGTCCTGATGCTTTGCTGAGCTTAGAGGCACCTGTTCTAGAGAAAAGGCAAAGCTCTCTTTCACTGTTCCCTGGGCAACTCTCACCTGGAGGAGTGACCAGGCAAGGATCCAGGTAACAGGACAGAAGGGGCCAGAGCTGCCACTGCTGGAAGTGTGCTAGGGGACTGGAAGGTGAGCTGCAATCCCACCCCCCGTCCTGGCCCCTCCAGGAGACCCTGCCTCCAATGTGTTTTAGGGGAAAGGGAATCCCACCCTGGGTCTTCCTTGAAGCCACGTAAGCAGCCTTCTGACCTTCTGGATTTGTCTTCCCACAGGAGTATGTGAGCTCTGAATCTAGGGCAAGTGCTGAAGGCGGGAATAGAGGAAAAGAAGCAGGTTCACAAGGTCAAACCCAGCCCTTCCATATTGGGAAGTCCAGGACAGGTTCTTGGGGCAGACAATCTAGGTTTAAAATCCCAGCTGTACCATTTGCTTTCCTCAGACAAGACCTAAACTTCTGCTATACTTATATGAGTATTTACTGAGTGACTTTTCTGTTCTAGGGATTCAATGGTAAGCAAAAAATGGACTTAACAGTTAGCGAAAGAGATAAATATTAGCCAAACAACCAATAACAACCCCACCATTACCATAAAAAAGGGGGAAGAATGTCCAGGAGAGACGCATAGTTTATAATTAGGGAGAACTCACCCCCTCTGAGAGGTCAGAGAAGGCTTTCCTAAAAAAAACATAGTGGAACTGAGGTCTGTTTACTGCACAGGGTAGGAGGGGGCATTCCCTACGGTGGGAATAGAATATTCAAAGGTAGGCCATTTGGCAAGAGGTAGTATGGCTCCTCCAAGGAACTGGAAGAAGGCTCAGGAGGCTGCGTTACAGAGTGGAGATGCAGGTGGGGGGCAGACCAGAGAGAAATGTGGGTCTTTATCTTACGAGTAATAGGAAGCCTGTTGAGGTGCTCTAAGCAGGGAGGGGAGATGATCATACTTGTAGTTTGAAAAGATTACTCTGGCAGCAGCGAACAATGGATTGGAAGGAAACCAAGGCACATTTAGGAGACTAGTTAGGAGGGCTAAGATATTTGCCTGTGAAACGGAAATAATGATAATACTATCTCATAAGCTGTTGCCAGGATTCATTGAGAAAGTGCATCTTAAATATTTATTCCAGTACCTGGCACATAGTAAAGGCTAAGTAAATGTTGGCATTTTTACTTTTGTTGGTTCTCTTCAGGCAGCAGAGTTTTCTGTGCCATGCCTGCTCCTCTGAGGTGGGGTGGGTTAGGATGGTGGTGGTTTCTAGAGTGGAAACGCAGTTTGTATGTCACAACGTCAAGGCCAGCACCCAGGATGCCTGAAGGCCCTATTAGAATGGCTTAGGGGTATGGAAGATTCACGAAGAAAACCAGGTTCCAACTGCTCTCGGAAGCAAGCTGAAGAGACGGGTGAAAGACCCTCCTGACTGTAAGCCTGAGTGTTGGCTGAGGAAAACTTTTCTGCCAGGTGTCCCGGGGAGCAGGTGTAGGGCTCGCACTCAAGTGCAGTCGCGCGGGGGCGGGACCCGCGCCGCTCCTCAGCCCCAGGTTGACCCGCAGGCATCCGGCAGGCCCTGCTTCCCCGGTCGGATGCGCGGGTACCGGGAGGAGGGAGGGTCCCGGAAGGCCGACTCGGACCGGCCCGCAGGGGCTGCCCCCTCCCCAGTCACGTGGCCTGGTGGGTGGGGACCGATCTGAAGTTGGAGAAATCCGGAGGGATCCCAACTTTGGAGTGCTCCGCCCGTCCTCCCGGGCCCGGGCGTTGGGCGCTGGGGTTCCAGGAGGCGTGCGGAGGTGGGAATTGGTGAAGACGAACAGCAGCACGGACGCCGGGACTCCGGGCATGGCCCAGCTGTCGGTGGTCCCGGGGTCGGCCACGGGGTCAACAGGTGAGTGGGGACCAAGAGGCCGCGGCGGCTGGCGTGGGAGTGGCTGCTCTGGCATTGGGCGCCCCCCACACTTCATCTCGTCCAGGGGACGCGGGACACCCACAACGGGAAGGGTTGGTAGGGTAAAGCGGCCGCGGTGGACCCTTGGCTCTCTGAGTCAGTCCCACTGCCGCCACCCTTGCTTGCCCGCTGTGCCCAGGCAGCGGCGCGGCGACGAGATGGGCAGCGTATGGGGAGAAGACGCGCGCGGGTTGGGGGGCGCTGTGCAGGCCCCGCCCTCCGCGCACGCACTGGCTGCTCCCCGTGACGTCACGCTCGGC